TCGTCTCCTTCAACTTCAAATGGTGATTCTAATTTGTCAACACAATTATAAAGATCTCCCTTCATATTCTTGCTTTACTAATGTAGTAAGCCTCTTTGCTGTGTAACTGCAACAGAAACAATTCAATCCATTCCGTTTAGTAGTATGAGTTGCCAGACTCAATGCTGGTTTTGCTGAGTGATATTGCACAGCACAGCTTGACTAAAATTTTCAGTAATTGGATGTTGATAGGCATTTGCCTACATAGTAATACTGACAAAAACTGTTATAGTTGAAACACATGAATTTTCACTTTGTGGTTTCATATTTGCTTTTTTTCCCCTTTCAGTTCAAAATTGTTGCATCAGAGAACATTGAAATCTAGCTGAGGGATGTAAAATCTAAGCCTTAACTAGTTAATTTTGTATGTGGCTGACCCTTTTCTAATGTTCAAACAGTTGTATTCTTGTTCTGAATTAAGTTTCCTACTGAGGCAATGGGTGACCAGCTTTGGAATCAAAGCACTCAAATGATTTGCAATCTAATCAGAGAGTTTTCTTTCTTCTGAGCAATCTGGATACTGGAACTCTTCAATGCCTACGAATCTTAGTTTACACCCTTGTGTGCTAGCCAAATAGATTCAGTCTTGGGTCCACTAGAAGTCTACAACTCGTTCAGTACCTGACCAACTTCTAGGTCCATGTTATTTTCTATCAAAGGGGGGAGAACACCTGCATTCACATACAGTTATGTCCCATTTTCTTCCTATGCAATAACTACAGCACACGCCAACCAATAGCTACTTCAACTGGTGAGGCCATGACCTCTTTGTAAGCCAGAATGTCTAAAGAAAACAACCACGACTCCTCGAAATGGAAACTCACATAGAAGGACAATGTAGCAATCTTAATTCACAAATGAAACCAAAGATCACTCCACTGTTGATTCTAAATATCAAAACATGAGGCTACGTACAAACCTCTTAAATTACAGCATTTAATATAAATCACACAATCTTGCAATTCTCTGAAGGTACCGATAAGGAACTAGAAACACTACCAAGTAATAATTGCGAAATAGCTCCAGAGCAGCTGAAATTACTATCTCAAAGACATATCAACACAGCACAAAATAGACAGCTACGCTAAACTCACATAGAAGGACAATGTAGCAATCTTAATTCACAAATGAAACCAAAGATCACTCCACTGTTGATTCTAAATATCAAAACATGAGGCTACGTACAAACCTCTTAAATTACAGCATTTAATATAAATCACACAATCTTGCAATTCTCTGAAGGTACCGATAAGGAACTAGAAACACTACCAAGTAATAATTGCGAAATAGCTCCAGAGCAGCTGAAATTACTATCTCAAAGACATATCAACACAGCACAAAATAGACAGCTACGCTATGTTGGAGTTTCACTTTGTAAACAGCACTAATGTAATCTAACAAACTAGAAATAACTCTCTTCTTAATGCAACGATACACAGTTATCCTTTGTGTTTGGGAAGGGAAAAAAGACATATCTACAGGAATGTTTGAAGCCAATTATGTCTCTCTTTTTTTTCCCTTCTTCACCATTCTTTAAAGTTTAGAAACTACATAGCAATATCCCCTATTCTCTAGGGAAAATATTGTAGCTATTTCTTAACATTTAATTCCTTCTGAAAAAAAAAGACAGTGCTCCTATAGTACAATAATGATTGCTCAACTAAGCCATCTTTCAACAGCCCGGAAGCATCTTCATGTCCACTCAAAATGGCATGAACCCATCAAACAACTGCCAGTCTACCAGAACAGATGCTCAAACCACAATCCATAGGCCAAAGCCATGGGATTAAACTATCACAGCCATCCACATGAAGCAGACATCCCAAAGTAGAGAGCGTGATTTCCGAAAGGGATTCATAAACTAGAACCTATGACAAATCTAAATTGCTTCTCTGGTCTCTCTAGACTGTATTAAACAGTACATGAAACATGACATCAAGTTCTTCCTGAACTTGCCATGCGATCAGAAAGTTGAGAAGTACAGAGGTGGAGTAATTACGAAGCACAAACATTACCAAGTGATAATCCTAGTAATATCACTGGACAGAAATAGACATTTTCATGTCAAAGGTACATAGTGTTTATACTAAGCATAGAAAATTATAGCAACAATAATATCTCTTGTGCCACACATACTGAATTAAGATCTCTTGACAGTCTGAAAGCAATAGTTCATTTTTACTCGAAATGGCAAACTAATGAAGCCTTCAAGGCTTCAACCAACTACAATAGCAGACAATTAAAGCAAACCATTCACACATTTCACAGCCGTGGGTTTCAACTACCAGGACACAATAAATTAAGATTCGGAATTCCAATGGGAGATTGAGAGAAGCATATAAGGTTCACATACACATGCACAGAAATTTCTATTCCCTTTCCCATGGTTATTTTCCAACTAGGATGGAAAGAAACCATTTCCCATCAAAATGCAAACTACTGAAGTTTTCAGCCAACAACCACGACAGATAACCAATGCGAACCATCCATAACCATTGGATTCAACAACTAACTTCACAAATTCATTCACATGCAGCACACATCACAAGGGAAAGAACAAAATTTCCACAAGGGGCTCATAAATTAGAACCAATGATTGATCCTAATTCCTTCTCGGGTCTCTCTAAATAGCCTGAAATAGTACATGAAGCGTGACATCAAGTTCTTTCTTAACTTGCTATCAAACTAAAAGCTGAGAAGTATAGAAAAGAGAACTATAAACATAACCAAATGATAATAATAAACTAGCATGTCTGTGCGTTACAACTCTTTTCTTCCATAATGCAATGATATGCAGCTCTTCTGTATGTTTGAGGCAAAAAGGAGAGAAGATGATAGTAAACTAGCTATAGTGAAGCAGAAATTGTCATGTCAAAGGTACATAGTGCTTTGTACTAAGCAATTCAACTCTTTTTGGAAGAAACTGTAGTGTCCCTAGAAAAATGTAGCTCCTTTGCTCTCCATTATTTTCCAACTAGAAAGAAAAAAAGTTTGAATAACTTTAAATGTTGTTGCAATTCTCCTCCTTTTTAGGAAAAAAGGTTAACTCATTTCTTAAAATTTGATTGCTTCTGAAGTATAGAGAGTGCAGTTATTAGAAATTACAAACATTACCAAGTGACAATACTAGTAATCTAACTGGACAAAAATAAGACATTTTTATGTCAAAGGTAAATAGTGTTTTATACTAAGCATAGAAAATTACAAAGGAAGAAAATTCTAGCTCCTTTCGAAAGCAATGTAGCAACAATAATATCTCTTCTACCACACATACTAAATTAAGATCTCTCTCGACAGTCTGAAAGCAACAGTTCATTTTTGCTTGACATGGCAAACTAATGAAGCCTTCAAGGCTTCAACCAACTACAATAGCAGACAATTAAAGCGCACCATTCACAGCCGTGGGTTTCAACTACCACGACATAATAAAGTAAGCTTTGGAATTCCAATGGGAGATTGGGAGCAGCATATAAGGTTCACATACACATGTACATAAATTTCTATTCCCTTTCCCATGCTTATTTTCCAACTAGGATGGAAAGAAACCATTTCCCATCAAAATGCAAACCATCCATAACCATTGGATTCAACAACCAGCACTTCAGAAATTCATTTACATGCAGCAGACATCACAAGGGAAAGAACACAATTTCCACAAGGGATTCATAAATTAGAACCGATGATGGATCTTAATTCCTTCTCTGGTCTCTCTAAGGGCTCGTTCGTTTGGCCTTGATTCCACCAGGAATCATTCCAAGTGATCAAAGATAGTTTAAATTAACACATCATTCCTGGTTGGAATGGTTCCAGGGATGCATTCCCTGGCAACCGAACAGCCCCTAAACTGTCTGAAATAGTACAAGAAGCATGAAATCAAGTTCTTTCTGAACTTGCTATCAAACTAAAAGCTGAGAAGTATAGAAAAGGGAACTATAAACATAACCAAATGATAATAATAAACTAGCATGCCTGTGTGTTGTAACTCTTTTCTTCTATTAATGCATATGCAGCTCTTCTGCATGTTCGAGAACAAAAAAACAAGAGAAGATAATATTAAACTAGCTATAGTGAAGCAGAAACTGCCATGTCAAAGGTACTAGGTACATAGTGCTTTGTACTAAGCAATTCCACTCTTTTTGGAAGAAAACTGTAGTGTCCTTAGAAAAATCTGGCTCCTTTTGAAATCATTGTAGCAACAATCTCCAGACACACACACACACACACACACAATGGTCCAAAAGCAAAACTTCATTTCTTCTCGAAATGGCAAATTAAAGAAGCCTTAAACCAACTACAAACAGACAATTAAAGCACACCATACATAACCAGCAATTCAACTACAACAAATTAACAAATTATACTTTTCTATTTCTCATCATTGTTTTCCAACTGTAAACCAAAAAAAACCTTTGAATGACTTTAAATATTGTTGCAATTCTCCTCCTTTTTAGGAAAAAGGTTAACTCCTTTCTTAAATCTGATTGCTTCTGAAGTGAAATCACAGTAGCAACAATGGTGTTGCTCTTGTAAAGTAAAAAGTTACTCTATTACTGATTTAAGCTTCTCCCAACTGTGTGAGAACAAATATTTTGTCCCATCAAAAAAGAAAACTGTGTGACAACAAGCACTTGAAGCAACCATCCATAACCATACGATTCAACTGTCACCACTTCAGAAACTAATTCACATGAGGGCAAACATCTCAATGGAAAGAAGACAATTTCCATAGAGAAATATAAATTAAAATATTTGAAAGATCTTAATTGCTTCTCTGGTCGTTCCTAAAACTGTCTGAAACAGTTGGTGAAACATGAAATCGAGTCCTGAACTTGCTACCCCATCCCACATCTAAAAGCTGGGATCTTTCGAGTTTGCCCTCTTTATTAACCCACATCTACTAAGACATACTACTAGTAGTGGCAGCTTACAGCAGCAGTCACCGAATCTGCAGGAGTGGAATTCTAGAAGGCACCTCGCAGGCGCAGCTTGGCGGTGGCGGCCCCCGGCTTTTGGAGCATGAGCAGGTCGTTGCAGTTGAACCCGCAGCCGCAGGTGGGGCACTCGAGGAAGTTCTCAATCCCGAAGTCGGCGGAGGCGATGCCGACGGAGAACTCGAGGTTGTCGCCGCGGCGGGTGACCTCGACGATGTTGATCCAGAGGAAGAGGACCTTGACGGAGACCCCCTGGAGGTCGGTGAGGTGGTCGGGGGAGATCTTGCCGGTGATCTTGGTCTGGTAGCGGAGCGAGTAGGAGCCCTCGATGGAGAACTCGCAGGAGGAGGATCCGGTGCCGGACGCGGAGGCATCGAGCGTGGCCGTGAAGGCGCCCGTAGCGTTGTCGAGCGTGTAGGCGACCACGCCCTTGGGGAGGATCCCCGGCGGAAAGTCGAAGTCGGCGAGGGCTTCATACGCCGTCGGCTTAGCGAAGGCGGTGCCGCTCACAGCAGCCGCGGCGGCGACGGCGACGAGGAGGAGACGGTGGGCGAGCATGGCTGATTGGGGAGAGGAGCGGTGGAGTACGGCTTCTGTTTGGTTTGGTGAACAAGGCGAAGGTAAAGAGTGGACGGGTGTTCTTTCTTTTCTTTTCTTTTTTTCTTTTTTTTTTCCGCTGGGAAGGAGGTGCGCTTTTGGCTTCTGCACAGGTGTACCGGTTTAAACGCCAGGTCCTATACCGTAGGGTCAACTATAAAAAAGACGGCGGTGGTGCGCACGGCCGCCTTCGACCTCTTGCTCGCCACCCTCTCTCTTCTTTCTCCTGGCCGGTGGCCACTCTTCTCCTCGCCCTCGCCCTCGCCCTCGCCCCCGCCGCTGCCCAAGCCCTGCCATGACGCACTAGGGCCACGGAGCTCCGGCCAAGCCCCAGCGTGCTTGCCACCCCCCCCCTCCCCTCTTGCCGGAGCTCACCCTCGCCGGAGCTCGCCCTCGCCGGACCTGGTCCGGCCGCCTCCACCGCCGCTAGGGCCCCTAAACAGCCCGTCGGCCTCCCCACCGCCTGGCAGATCTTCCTCCCCCAACCCCCTTTTCTTCTATGGCCGCCGGAGTTTGGAAAGAAGGGAGGGGCTCGTCGGAACCCTAACGCGGGAGGACGAGGAGGAGCAGGACGAGGTGGTGGAAGAAAAGGCCTACCTCAGCGGATCCGCCATGGCCGGCGTGGATTGGGGGAGGAGCTCGGTGCGGGTGCGGCACGGGGAAGACGTTGCTGGGTAGGAGCTCACCGGTCGCCAGGGAGAGAGAGATGGGAGGAGAGAGGAGTCAATGAGTGGTCCGAGTGGGGGAGGGCATGCGGGCGAGGCGTGCGGACGCTAAGTTTATCGCCCGCCCGCACGTTTCTAAGTCATTGCCGAAAAAAGATATTGAACTCCCAAATTTTTAAACTGGACAATTTTTGAACTGCAAAGCAAACTAGGCTTCAAAAATCTCATATATAAGTCTATAAACATGGCGCAATAAATTTGCATTGAAGAAAAAAAAATATTGGCAACAAGTATTTCACACCATGTATTACTAAGTGTTGCGAATTTGGTTTTTTAGCCAACCAATAGGAGAGCGTTTGAGCAGTATTTGGTTGGGAGATAAGATGGAGCACGCTGTCCCTCTCTAACTTTTGTGATAGGACATATACACACTACTAGAAATATTCACTTTTACGATGAAAATCTTACGAATCCGAAATTGTCATACAAGATCACTTTTTATGACGAATATTTCCGTTTCGTCATAGATTAGTGGTGACGATCCTACAACCCTCCCTTTCTATGATGAAATTAGACACCGTCACAAAAAAACGTCATAAAAGAGCGCGGGGTTTCGTCACAGATCACTCACGCGACTTATCTGTGACGATCTTCTTTAAATCTATGACGAACAGGGCTTCGTCATTGAACTAATTACACATATGTGACGAACAATATTCGATCTGTAACGAATGGCTTCGTCATAGATCTCCATACGGTACTTTCTTCATCCGATGTGTACCTGTGGGACATGCAGTTACTTATTCGTGACGCATGCAATTCGTCATAAAAGTCTCCGCTCGATCCTATCTCCATGTGACGTGTATCTATGAGACTCTTCTCCATCCGACGTGTACCTGTGGGACTTGCAGTTACTTATCCGTAACGCTTGCAATTTGTCATAAAAGTCTCCGCTTGGTCCTTTCTCCGTCCGACATGTACCTGCGGGACACTTCAGCCTCCGACCTATGGGACCCGATGACTTACGTGTCACGTTTACCTGTGGGACCGTTCTCCATCTCCATCCGACCTGTGGGACCCGACAGCTTGCGTGTCACATGTACCTATGGGACCATCCGACCTGTGGGACCCTACGGCTCACGTGTCACGTGTACCTATGGGACCTTTCTCTATCCGACCTGTGGGACCCAATGGCTTGCGTGTCACTTGTACCTTTTGTGCCGTCGGGGTCTAATAAATTCAAAAAAACCCTCAATGCTTGGGAGTCAAACCCAGGACCCAGAGGAAGGAATGCACGATCTTTACCATTGTACTAAATGCCTGGTTGTATTGACATGGCTTTGAAGTCATTATAGTATTATATTCTCTGTGTGGATGCCCTACAGGTTAACCTATATTGGATATTTCTTCTTCAAGTGGAAACAAATCTATGCCCGTTAGACTAGCGGCGGCGACGGCAGAGGATCCCCCATGTGCTGTGGTGGCTTCGGCGTCCTTTTGGAGGCTAGGCGGCGGGGCTTGCCGGTGGAGCGCGGCTGCATTGGCGTCCATGTCTATTGTGTGTCACGGCATAGGCGACAGATCTGATCCGTAGGTCTCCTTTATCGTCTTTTCCTATTCGCTTCACTGTTTTGGTCCTTGCTTGAACATGAGGTATACAAGAAACATTCTATCGTTGTAGATCTGTGTCGGTGTTTCAAGTTGCCACCGACTAGTAAATTTCTAATATTGCGCGTCTAGCTCGGATGGTGTGCCAAGAGGACACGAGGTTTATACTAGTTCGGACAGAATGTCTCTACGTCCAGTTCATTGCTGCTTGCTCGTGTTACTAGCACTGAAAGTTCATAGTAGGGGTAACAAACGGTCGAGAGAGGGACATGTCCCAAGTCTCTGGTGAGAGGAGCGAACGGGTGCCGAGAGCTCGGTCGCTTCCCGGCTGTATGCTTGTGTGTTCTGGTCGGTTTAGGGTTCGATGGATTCGAGTCCCAATTGATGCGATGTGTTCTGATGCCCCCTATGGGACGCCCTGCTTTCCCTTTTATAGGCTAAGGAAAAGCACGGGTTACAGTGAAGGAAAAAGAGGAGGATGAGAAGGAGAAGAAGTCCTCCAGAATCGTCGGGTCCTTCTTTTCCATCACATGGGTCCCGCTGACCCTGTAGACGTCAACAGGGATAGCTCCACATCACGGCCCTGTCCGTCATTGGTGCCATGCGTAGGCATCGTCTCCTGGTCATGGCGCTCCACTCCGTCCTGGTGGACATCACAGTGAACTGACGCGCCTGTCAGTGCTCGTACGAGGGTTAGACAGAATAGCATCGGTACACCCGACGCTGCTCCTGATGTGAATCCCCAGGTATGGCCTATCATGGCCACGGGTTATATCGGGGCATGCCGGTCACCTCCCTGGTGTTAGAGCTTTGTCTCAGGCCCATTCACTTGGACCTGGAGTGGTTGGCGGCGATATGGGTCTTCGTCGGGCATGACGGATCCCTCGGCCCTAGGGTCGGTTGAGGTGGAGTCCCCCCAGAGGCCGGGCGAGGCAAAGCCAGCCCTCAGAGGTCGGGCGAGGTAGAGCCAGCGGCCTCGGTGTCGGGCGAGGCAGAGCTAGCCCTCAGAGGTAGGGCGAGGCGGAGCCCGTCACCTCGGTGTCGGGCGAGGCGAAGCCTGCCCTCAGAGGTCGGGCGAGACAAAGCCCACGGCCTCGGTGTCGGGCGAGGCGGAGCCCATCCCAGAGGCCAGGTGAGGCGGAGCTTTGCACCTAGGGGTCGGTTGGAGCTGTAGTCGCACTCTTGACTGCTTGGATGCATCAATGTTGATGGTTATTAGCTCCTCCTCTTCGAATACCCTAGTATTAGTCCCCGACAGTAGCCCCCAAGCCTATGGAGGAGTAGAATACCCCTTCGAAGGCTTTTCCGAATGGGAGAACTCTGAAGGCCTCGGCCTTCTTTTGTTGCCCGTAGTGTGACCTAGGGGCGGTGATTCCCTTTCCTCGAGCCCCCTCCCATAGCAGGGGTTCGGTCGAGGATCGGTTCGTCTTTGCGATTGTCTTCCCTAAAGCGTTTTTTCTGATAAAAAATAGAGGGGCCGAACCGTGCCACGATTTTCCTTTAAGGACGAATTATGGCACCCGGTGAGCTGTTAATGGGCTAGACTGAGTGGGGCCCTCGGCATACCGTTCGCGGGGATTCGGCTTGGATCAGCTTGGTGACTGACCCTAGATTCTCAATGATCAATCCAAATAGTTCTCGGGTCCGTTCGATCGGTCCCGAGGGCTAAGTACCTTTCTTCGAAAAAAACCATGGATCATAATTGGCCGAGACTCGAACATGGGCCAGGATACGCACGGCGCTCGTGCGCTCGGGTACTGGCCGCTAGCGGGTCCATCCCTTTCCATCTCTCACCCTAAAGGCGCCAAAAGCGATTGTCGAACCCATCGATGGGCCGACCTACGAACTCCTAGGCCCAGTCGGGCCGTAGAGGCGCTTTTAGAATCGTATTCGTCTTACTCATGACGAGTCATGGCCATACGAAGAGGAGAAACGTCCAGCGAGTTTTCCAAGGGAACAGGAGATTGCGTGCGCGCTTCCCGCGGCGAGATGTGGTGGCAGATCATGGCAGGTGCAGAGATCTAGGTGGGCGGTTGGTTTCCTCACTCCCGTCGCCCCTATAAAACCAAAGGGTTTGCCCCTAGGGGTCCATACCTTGCATCCTTGCCTCCGCAGCCACGACCGCCACCGCTAATCACTTAGGTTTCTTGCCTCCGCATCCCCATCACCGTCGAGCTCATATCCGTCTGCCCTCACCTCCATTGGATCCGTGGTGCCACTTCGATATCACCTTCCAGCGCATGGAAGGCCTCGTCCACCACAGTCTTCTCCATGCGTGGACCTCAGCTGAGGAGTAGCTACTGCCCGGCGAGGAGGATCTACCGTCGCCGCCCGATGGCTATGTGGTGTCGTTCGCCCACTTCTATAAGCATGGGTTCGCGACCCCCACCTACAAATTTCTTCAGGGGCTGCTGCATTATTACAAGATCGAGCTGTAGCATCTCAACCCCAATGGGATCCAGCACATGGTGTCATTCGTCGCCCTGTGCGAGGGGTTCCTAGGGATCAGCCCCCACTTCGATCTATGGAGGTACTTCTTCGCTGTCACCCTCTAGAAGAAGAGGGAGAAGAGCGGCAGACAGGAGCTACATTTGCCGATGGGGTGCATCGGCATCCAGCTCTAAGACAATCGGGTCTGCGAGTACCCGCCCATGCATCTCTCGACGTCCAACAAGGGGTGGCACTCAT